AAGAATACCTAAGATTTAATATAATTACAAAATTACTCATTAAAACTCAATTCATATAATTTAATTACATTTTAATAATGAAAACAAATTTAAAAAACCTAAATTATTAAAAAAATAATAAATATTATATATTTTAATAATTATATATCTTACAATATTTTTAAAATTTTAATTAATCATCAATAAAATTTATCATATTTCATCAATAATACTTTTAAAAAATAAATAACCAAACATAAAAATAACTTTCAGCCACAGTCACAGTATAGCCACAGTCATAGCACTTTACAACAATTCCGAACATACCTCAAATCATTGACACAACTGTTATAAGTTAATATAAGTAAATATTTATTATCTTTATTTCATTATAGAAAAAATTATTTGTCAATTAAATTTGTAAAAAATTTAAGTTAAAAGACACTTTAAAATTATATCCTTTCAATAAATTTTTATTATAAAAAAATCTTAATTTTAAAAGTAGTTCTCATGTATTTTATTTAAATAATATAATTTTAAATGTTTCTTCGCCTAATTTTTTTGCAAATTCAATCTAATTTCCATAAACTAACTTTTATAAAGTTTTATAAGAAATAGTCAATCCCTAAAGGTTATCTCAATTAGTTAACACTTGAAATTTTAATTTGTAGATTGTCCAAGTTGGTTAAAATTCAAAATTTTTGTGAGTTTAAGGTTGGAATCTTGAGCCCATTGAGGAATATATAGAAAATTAGAAGAAGACTGTTTACAAACTTAACAACGAAGTTAACTCAATACCTTTTTTTCTTTTTTGCCAAAATAAGTTATTGTATACAAACATTTATCTTCTCATAAAAAATTATAGGAGTGACATTTATCTAAAATATCTTGGCCAAAAATTAAAAAAGAAGATGATTTTTATGAGCAAAAGAAGAAGATAATTGCACCTACTCTTCTAGGTTAAATAGTTACAAATCATGTTGAATGGTACATTTCTAACTTTTGGTTTAAGTTTGACTCTCCCTTCTCAAGAAAAAAGTTATAACTTGTTTTAAAAAAAATAATAATTAAAATAATACTTTTAATAATTATAAGTTAAGTTCATAATTAAAGTTTTGTATAAATATTTAAAGAAATTAATTTATTTAAATACATACCAAGTTGATGTAGGGGTGTATTTTAAAATTATTTTTTCTTTAAAATTATTTTAAAAAATTAATTTTAAAGTGCATAAAAATTAATTCAAAGCACACTAATTGTAAATAAAAAAATTCTAACAATTGTATACTTAACATTGTTTAAAATAAATTTTGCCCTTTCTAAAAAAATATAGTACTAGTATTTTAAAATTTAAAAAAAGAAAAATAAAAAAGAGAATGTCTTTCAAAATGTTCGAACTCTAATCACAACCACACCATAAATAAAATTAAAATTGGATGTTTGCTCTGATTTTTTGCAACATCTTTAAATGTAAACCTAAAATTTTGATGAAAATATAAGGACATTTGGTAGGCAAAGATTTTAATTCTAAACTCCAATTTGTGTACTTCAACCACAAAAATCATTTATTTATTTTTTATAAAAAATGTTACTAGCATACTAGTACTTAGAAGTGGACATAAAAAAAGAAAAAAGAAAAAAGAAAAAAGAAAAAAAAAGTCTTGTAATGGATCTTTCATATTTTCTTGAATCAAAATATGCTTAATACCTGAATTCACTCTCCCTGACAGCGCGTGACATTTCTCTTACCTGTATTTTTTGAAAAATTGGCAAAGTTAGTCCCTATACTCTGAAATATTGTTGGTTTCTATCCTTTTGTGGTGTTGGCGTGTTGCTACTGCTAGGCCACGCTCATTCAATCTCGAATATATTTGGTTGAAGATGAAAGATAATTTTTTTAATTAATTAAATTATAATATTAGTTAATATTATAATTTAATTGATAAAAAATTTTATCATTTAATATTATAATTTAATTGATAAAAAATTTTATCATTTCTTATCCATTCCCTTCTTTGCCTCTCTGTTTTCCTTAAATTGCATACTATTATTGTATGAAAGAAAAAACTAAACTTGTGTTTTAAGATATGGCTATACTTACTCATTATTTTATTAAAATTATTTAAAAGTTTTTTGGTTTGATGATGTTTAATTTATTTGTAATTTTTTTAATTAAATAGTTGATTATGATATTGAAAAATATTAATTTATAAATTAATTTTAATCAATTAATAATAAATATAAGATATTTTATTTTTTAATAGTTAAACTAAATATAATTAGATGATTTTAAAAATATAACAGGCCACCATAACCACACTTGTTTTTCATAATAGTAAATTGAGGATCTTAACCAACAAAAACATTGCTGGGGTATGAAAACCAATGATATGTCGATGTATAGGCAATGTAGGGACTAACATTGCCTTAACTCTTTTTTCTACCCTAATAAGTATAATCTCTCATGGACTGTAGTTTACAAAAGAGTAACTATTGAAAAGATAAAAATTTAGAACAAAAATTTGAGATGAATAATGTAATTTATATTATATTATTAAATTAATTAAAATATAAAATATTATAAATTTTAAAAATAAAAAATTTAATTATTAAATAATATAAATTTTTAATATTTTAAATAATGTAATTTATGTAATCTCATTTACCACAAATCTTAATCACAAATTTTGGTGTCATTTATGACTATTTTTCGTAAAAATGAGAACTTTATCTTGGAGTCCTCCCCTTAGTGACCCTCAGTCCTGCAAAGAAACGTCTTTTGTCCTTTTTATCTTCCCATGCGACAAGCTTCAAACACCTTCTGAGTTCCCCGTACTCTCCCATGTCTACATTCTTCCTTCCTATTCAGTGCCATTGAAAGTCAAATAAACCCAACAATTTGTGGGTTTAATGCTTTTCCCTTCTCTTCAGATCATCCATATCTCTCAAAAACAGAAACACCATCACAATGCCTTAGCTGTCCTCCTTAATGCATTGTGAACCATCAATTCATTTCTATAAAGTTAATTGATTTCCCTTTTTTTTCCTTTACCCCATTGCTCTTTTCTGGGTTGCTTTCTGTTTTGCTTTTTCAGTGCATTGGAGGGGAAGATTAGAGGAAAAAATCAACTGGGTTACTGTTTTTTCAGAGCTTGTGTTAATGTCCAGGTAGGTAACTGACTAACTGTTTTTAATGTGGGTATTTGTTTTGTTGGGTTGTGTCTTGAATAGCTGAATGTGTGTGTATTAATTTATGGGTGCAGGAGAAAAGTACAAATGTCCAAGTGGAAAGAAGGGGGCCAGAGGAGGAGCCCCCGATTATCTGCATCGGATGATGCGTGGAAGGCGGCCCAGCAACCGAGGCGCGTGTCCCGCACTCTTCGTTCTGTGAGGGGAACGGTGGTACGCCCATCTCAGCCTCAGGGACCAGCCTCCCGGACTAGGGCCAGGAAAAAGAGAAAACTCAGACCACTTGAAGATGTGGCTGCTACTCCTCTCTCACCCATTGCTCAACAGGTTTTTGTTACTAATTTTCCTTTTGAAAACTCCTAATTTTGTTCTGCTCCGATTCTTATATTTACATGCCACTGTGTGACTTTCTCTTTTCACTGTTTTATTAGGACTGTTGTGTTTTGCACATATGGGGTTTGATGGTTTGGAGTGAAAAGGGGTTTTGTTGGGTAAGGGTGGGACAATGGAAAGGGTTCCTGAAGTATTAGAAGTTGGCTAATAAAATTGGTATTAGCTTAATTAAGAAACTCGAATATCACCTTACCGACAAAGACAGAGTGACCCTACCTTGCACATGGCCAAGTTTCACTATCCTATCAAGGGAAAGTGTTGGATTAATGTATTTTTTGTTCTTTCCTTTATGTACTGTAGAATAGCGTGCAAGCACATGGTTTGGTGCTAATATTGTTTGGATTTTAGGCATTCTGCTTCTTAAAAGAACCACACTCCAGAACTTGATTTATACACTTCTTACTGCTCTCTTTAACAGCTAATGAAGCACTTGATCCCTGTATTGTGATTGAAGATGACTGAATATTTATTCAAACTTTGGGGGCTGGGGTTGTTTTATGGCAGGGCACTTGGTTGAGGTTCAATTACCCAGATAATTTAAAGTCACTGGCACTATTTCAATGAACGTAATATTAAATAAATAAATAGAGGACTTCTCATTAGTAGCTTTGTATATTTGTCATGATGTATATGCTTGTTTTGTGTTTTTAGAGGGACTCTTCTAATTATGTTTGTATATAATAGTTAGGTTTTCTTAATGATTTGCTAATAACAATTCAGGATCCCAAGCTAAATGATGTGCAGGATGACGACCAGCAAAGTGAAGAAGACCATCCAATAAGGAGTAAGCCTCATTGCATTGTTGGGAACATAGTTGTAAATTACTTTGTTGCTATACTGTCTCAAATAACACCATAATGCACTTCGTCGCATCTTTATCAGATGGACCAACTGTTCAGGGTGACACTAGCCTGACATTTGAAGATCAAGCTGCCTCACCTGGTTACCTTCATTTTTTGTGTTAATATTTGACATGCTGATCCTTCATTTTAAGATTTTGATTGGTACAAAAATATCTTCATCCATGACTTGGCTGTTTTGTTAGATGGGCAATCAACAGCATTTACCCAATGGATGCCAGAGAAACGAGTACTTGAGGTTGTGATTGACACCTTACAAAGGTAAGCCTTTTAATTAATTCATTTTTTTGGGATTTCTAGAATCATGACTGAAGGTCCAGCATTCTAACATTTGCCGAGTAATTCTATTATAGACTCTTACTCAGCATAATTGATCTTCTACATATTCTTTTAATATTAGGAGAGACACCTACGAAATATTTGCTGAACCTGTTGACCCCGAAGAGGTTTGCAATTAATTGTTTCTTTCAAGCTTCAATGCAAAATCATCTGGATGTTCTTTTGTCTTTCTTTCACATGATCTTGATGGATTTTGCCTCTGTAACAAGGTTGAGGATTACTATGAAATCATTAAGGAGCCAATGGATTTTGGCACCATGAGGGCTAAACTTCATGAAGGGATGTATAAAAGCCTAAAACAGTTTGAGGTTTGATCCCTTCAATGAACTGATGTGTTTTTAACTGTCAACATGTGTATTTGTATTTAAGTGTTTAGTCCTTCCAGACATCTGCGAACTTCATGAGTTGAACATCTAGAATAACTTTGGGATGCAAATGAATTTTGAAAAATGTGGATTAAGAAATCAGCTTTGTTTGATTATCATCTTTGAACTGTTGTGCAGCATGACGCATTTCTAATATCTAGAAATGCAATGCATTTTAATTCAGCAGCCACCATATATTTCAGACAGGTAATGCAATCTCTCTAAGAATTCTCTACAACATCATTATTTTTGCTGCTAACTGAACAAGAAGTTTTGGTTACAGGCTCGGGCCATTCATGAACTGACAAAAAGGGTTTTTCATACTCTTAAAGCGGATCCAGAGAAGTTTGAAATGGAATTTTCAGAGACAAGAAGAAGAACCAGTAGAAGGCTCATTAATGAAGGTAGGAGTCCATTACATAGCTCAAGTTCTAAGCTTGCCACAAATGTGAGAACCCGAAGGATAACCGGTGCTTCATCAAAAAGGGCACCACATTTGTTGGCTACATCAAATCATAGGAAAAGTGCGGGAGGAAGTCCTGGATGCACTGGCAATGCAACTGTTAATGCAAGAGATAACACCATGCCCTCTGGTAAGGAGCCATTTTAATCTAACATCTAACATCTAACGCAATTTCAATTTTTTATTTTTTGAAACTTCACTATGTGATTCCTACTTGTGTGAGTTAAACTTCCAAATCTTTAACTTCTGAAGATTTGCAAATAATTCTTGTTTTAGCTCACGTGACATATTGAAATTGTTATTATGTTTAAAATATGCTGAATGATTTCAATCAGCAACTCTCTTAACAGGTTCTGCAGGCAGTGGACAAAATAGTTTACCTGAAGCAGATCGGCGTTTTACATATAGACCTTGGACAACCTTCCTCAATGAGAATGATTCAATTGTTTCAATGGTGTATAACAATTCAAAACTACTAACTAATGTAAGTTAAATTGCTTCTTTTCTGATTAATGAGGATGGAATCTGAATCCTAGAGGCAAATCCAAATCCATTTAGTCCTCCAGACATTCCAAGTACATTTTAAAATTTGATCTTTCATGAAAGATAAAAGTTGATGAATGCAGCACCCTTTTTGCTCAAGAATTCAACGCTAGATGATTTGTTGTCCCAACAATAGGATGAAAGGTTTTGTGTTTATTATGGGCTTTTCTGCCAGATATCTTGACAAAGTGTCAAAATATCTAACCATGTTTCTTGGGTCGCCTGAATGCTGCCTCTCCTATTTTGCTTACGTGACATTCCTTCTTGAAAGGTTCTGAATAGTCAACTTTTCTTTCTTTGATTTTGTTTCATTGTGCTTAGGAGCGTTTCTTACTTTTGAATCAGTAACTGAGTGGGGACTACTCCTTTTGCTAAAGAGACATGGCATGATTACTTACTCCTTTTCTTTCTTTTTCTTGGTGGGGCATCACATAATTCATGTATTTTCAGTAACGTATTTATTGATCACATACAGAGAGCACCAGGGAACTTTTAATGAAGGATGCTTCTATTTTCAGCTAAATTACTGAAGAAGAGGGATAATGGAATTTCTAATTAAGGAAGAAAGCTGACTACCTTTTTTTTTTTCCCTTGTTTTCTGTAGGTGAATCAGCAGGATATTGGTTACAGCGATAGTTTGATGTTGTTTGTCAAGGATTTAGGACCTACAGTCCAAATGGTAGCCAGAAGGAAGCTGGCTGCGTGCTCAGTTGGTGGTTCTAATTATTGGAGTCCAGATTCAAGACGTTGGTTTCAGGATCCTGGTCCATCTAGCTCCACCCCAAAGGGACCCACTATCCTGGATGATGAAGTTACGACATCTCATAGTTTACCACACTATCTCCGTGGATGTCCAACTGTCTTTGGAAACCCCAATTACACAACAGATTTATCTTATGCTGGTGAATGTGGGAAACCTAATACTATTGAAAGAACAGGTATTTGTAGTTCTTCAATTGAAGTGGCATCAAGCATCGGTGAAAAGAAAATCCCCGGTGCCTTGAGAGGTGATGTTTTGTCCAAAGATGCAGTGACTGTCTTGGGTGCTTCTGGGAGGGACATACATCAGGGTCGTACCACTGGGACTCAGTTGGGTTCATTTTCTTTCAACCGTGGTGCTAGAGACATGAATTTCTCAGTCTCCGGGATTAGAAATGCAGGCATCGATTCTTCCTGGTCAATAATGGACAAAAGCAAGGGTGATAATCAGGCACAGCTATTGAACTCAGCATTAAAGCAACCTAAGGCCAACATAACAGATTTCAAGTTGCGAAGTGATTACAAATCCTTATGTTCATGGCCACCACGACCTGTTAGTAGTCAGATTACGGACTCCATGCAGGGTTTACTTTCTCGGACCGTTGATGATCAAGACCTGGCTAGATGTACACGAGATGAAAGTTACAAAATCAATGGTTCAGTTGATGCAGGCCAAGCATCAAAGCAATGCCAACCCCTGCCATTAAGTTCTCAGTTCATTTTCGATTTGCCATTTCTACAAACAAGGCTCAATCAGATAAATTCACCGAGAAAGGATAAGTTCTTCCAGCCGGGGTTAACTGCTGATGACACTTCCTTGGAAAAAGCATGTTCCCAGAGAACTTTCACCTCCACCTATGGAACAGAGCCGAGCACTAGAGTTTGCAATGATAGTTATCAGCAATTGTCGTTGGATCCCCAGCATAATGATCTGGCTCTTCAGCTGTAACTTCTAAAAGGAAAAAGCAAGACCGAAAAGGCTAACCAAGGGAGGGCTTTATATATCCTCTGCCAGACATGGCTCTCTTTACTTTCTCTCGAACTGCTAAGAAAGGGTTTGGGTCAATTAAGAAAATATGAATTATAGAAAGTTTTCAAGGTCACTGGCGATACATGTTTTCCCTTCATCCCAAAGAAGTAATTGTTTAGCTGTTCTGGCAGATGTTTGAACTTCTAATCTTAATATTGAATAAAGATTTTATAATTAGTGAAACGTTAACTTTATTAAACTCATTACTGAGACACTCGTCATTTTGAATTTTAAAATATGTTTAATTTGAAAGAAACTAAGGAAAGAAAAATTTTTTTGTCCAATTAAATTAATTTTTTATATTTTAGTTACACAATCAAATGTAATCATCTTTCATCTCTTAATTCAATTCACCTCATATGTCATGCGATTCAAACTTAAAATCTCTTACTTCTAACGAAAGGAGTCACTAAATTATTTAAGTAGTTAACAAATTAAAATTTTAATCTAACTTTTATATTTGATTGATAAAATATTTTCCCTCTCCTTCCATCTGTTCTCTTAAACAAACGTACCCTTACTTTTACTTTCAAGAAGGAAAATACAGCGTTGTCATGGACATTTATTTGTCATCATATGTAAATCCTGAGTTGCAGAGTGATTCTAAAGAAATAAATTATGAGATTAGGCAATGCTTTACGTCTACAAAAGACTAGAATACAACCCAAACCAAATGTCAATTACAATATAAATTTTGAATGACGAAGAAAAGTTAAGGGGAATTGAATTATTAAGACTAACAAAATGTTGGGTGCAAAGTTGTACTCGATGGACCAACTATAATAGCTTTCATGAGTTGTCAAGTCCTCCATAAAGATAGCAGCATTGACATGCCCCCTTAATTCCACCACCGATTATACCCCCGACATCTTTAATGTATTATTATTTTTTCTTGTTTTTAATTTTAATGACAAAAATGAATTTCACAACATTATTTATTAAATGAGTTCATTTTAATCTAATAAATCATTTAGTTTTTTTTAATGTATGATAATAAACTATATGATAGAAAATATTTTATTATTTTTTTGTTTTTCTAAATCTCTATGTCCTTATCAAAGATCAAACTCAATATCTTTAATAAAGAAGGTTCAAGCTTGAAGATATTAGAGATATTTGGATTAACTATTCAAATGAAATTGATAATTGATAATCCCTTTCACAATTAACAATTATTATTGTTTATAATTTAAAGTATTTAATTAATTTAATTAAAACCAACAATAGTCAAACGAGTTTACTTCCCTTATTAACCAAGGAAGGATTGAACTAAAAGCACCAATTCCAGTCTAATCCTTGAATATTACTAAAATGCATGGCATGCCAATCGATGGCTACAAGTTAATCAATGTGTGGTGCTTGCTTAAACTCGACTAAATTCATTTTTGTACACTCTCTAATTTTTTTTTTCTTAATTGTTTTAATGTTTAATCTTTGTAAGGTAAGATCAATGATCACTTTTTCCATATGTTAATTAACTTGGTTTTATAAAATTTGTTTATCTAAGTAAAACTACTTATTAATAACTTTGCATGGAAAGAATTTTTCAAATAGTAATCTATTGGATAGTATATTAAAACAATTAAGTCAAATTACATATAAAAAGTTGAAAATTACAGTAAAAAAAATAAGAGGTAGTATAAAATAATATATCGAATTAGACCAACTATATTATATTAATTATTCAATAAATATTGATTTTTTAATATTCAAATCCTTTTTTGTCTAAAAATTTGTATTTTATAATCTGTTATACTCTAAATTATAAACTAAAATTTTTATAATGTAACTAACGATTTAAGTAATTTAGTGATAATCTTTTTATATTAAAAGTAAGAGATTCTAAATTTAAATTGCATGACATATAAGTGGAACAGATAAAGGATGAAAAAAAGTTACCTTTCTGTTGTGCAACTAACATAAAAAACAATAAAAATAAAAATAAAAATACTTATAATATATTTAAAATAATATTAATATATATTTTTTAAAATGAATGAATAAATAAATTGGATTATTTGAACAACCGTAAAATTAGGATAAATCAAAATCAAACCGTAGATATGGCTTAAAACACAAGTAACCGGCATCAACTTAACCCAATTTTGCATAATTTTTTCCTTTCTTTCTTTCTTTTTCACTCATGTCGAAAGCCATTTAATACATTCAATAATTCTCGGGTTCGTTAAAAGAAGAGGGGAAGTTTGTTAAGGCGAACGCACAGATTTCCCGGTGCCGAATTCATACAACGGAAACCGGAAAAATGGCGTACAGAAGGCGGCAGGGGATCACCAGAGCCTCCACCTTCAAGGAAGAGATTTACCATCAGAGCGATGACGACAAATCTTCCAATCCGCAGTTTACGTCCTCCCACTCGTTTTCCTCTTCGTCATCGCATCCGTTGTTATCCCCGCGATCGCCCGCTGATTCCCTTGCCGCTCAGGCGATCCGTGCCTCCGCGGCTCGCCGCGAGTCCCCTGTATTCGGACGGGATACTTCTCCTAGATCTAAGGTTTCTCTTTCTCCCCATTGATTTCACCTGTTTTTCACAATAATTTTGTTTTCTGAACGGACATGAGCGGAATGAATTTTGTTTTGTTTCTACATTATCAACAATTTCGTTTAAATCTCATGTATTTTACTTTTTTGGATGGCGTTAGTGTCGCTAATCATGATTTCAGAATTAAATTAAATGGATTTCTGGTTGATATTGATCCGATTGCCTTTTTCTACTTTCTCAAATTTACAATTTGATCAAAGGTTTATATTTGGGTTGCATTGGGCCAATTTTGTTCTGATTACCAAAATTTAGGGCTTCAATGCGTATGAAGATGCTAGAAATGATGCTAAAGGGTTTTGGGGTGTTCTAGCTCGGAAAGCTAAAGCTATTCTTGAAGATGATGGTATGTCTCAGCAATTTGATGCTCCAAATGGTCCTCAGGTGATTCAAATTTATTAATTTACAAGTTCCAAAGATGTTTAAAAGGGAATCCTCTTCTTTTAATAGTAGGGATAACATGATGTTGCCTGTAATTTAGTCTTGATGTTTGATCTTCCTCGGTTCAGTTTCATCATTTGATTCCTTTTGCCTTTTTGGTTTAATATCTTTAATATCTTTCCCTGTACTTTTCCTCCCAATAGCAACAGCAGGCTCGACGGTCATACCAATCAACTGAAGGCATCAGAAGAATGGACAATCCTACTATAAGGAAGGGTTTGGATAAATTAACGACTTCCCTTAATCACATTGGTGATACATTTGAAAGGGCGTTTGAGGTATGAATGTGAAGTTTTCTAGATTGGATTTGTTGTTTCGTTCATTACTTCTTGGAAGCAGTTTTTTTACTCCGCAATATTACTATCAGTCGTTGGACCTACACAAGTCAAAATATATTTCTAGATTTGCTATATGGGTGCAGGATTGTAGGCTGAACAATGTAGTAATAAAGATCCAAAGTAACATTTTTGTGACAATATATCTTTATGGTTGAGTTTTGTCGCTTGAGTCTAGATATGACAGTGGCTTATTCATTATCTTCTTCCATTTTTTCATCTCAGGAAGGTCGGACAATTGTGGAAAATAAGACTGCAGATATCATCCAAGAAACTCGCAAGCTTCAAATTATGAGGAAGGGAACCTATCCAGAGGCACAAAATCAAGACCTCAATGTAAATAATAGTACATGGCAGCAGCCTCTGACACAAGCAACACCGCTACAGAATCAGACCAACCGTGAAACCCAACTCAAGGCATCTCGCGACGTAAGGTGCCAAAATTTGTGTCACTAAATCATGTAGTAATTCCATTGATTACTTGAGAATCAAAAGAAAGGCAGAAGGTCCCAAAGTTACTTCATGTTATCCAGTAAGAGGAGACCTAGGTCTACCTGTCACTGACTATTAGCCAAGTCCAAAGCTCATAATATTGGATATATTCCCTCATCTTTATTGCATTGCTTAAGTTAACAGTAAAGGGATAATGTTAAAATCAGTTATATAGGTGTTTTCCATAAGACACATATCTACCTTCTGAATAGGGTTATGAATTTCATTGTTGGTGTCCATTAAATCAATTTCACAAGGAAGATGAAAAAAAAAAAAGACTGATAGTTATGTGCCGAGTTCATTTCTGTCAGGTGAAATGCATGATTGGCCTTTGTTTTGTTTCACAGGTTGCAATGGCTACAGCTGCTAAAGCAAAACTTCTTCTTCGGGAACTGAAAACTGTTAAAGCAGATCTTGCTTTTGCAAAGGAAAGATGCTCACAACTGGAGGAAGAGAACAAGATCCTTCGTGAAAGTCGTGAAAAAGGGGGTAACCCTGCAGATGATGATTTGGTATGTATGCCTGAATTCTTTTGAAGCACAACGGTTTTTAAGGGAGATTCTTTAGGTTCTTTACACTGGTAGAAAGTACTGGCTCTAATTTTTGACATTTGATTTCAGATTCGACTTCAGCTGGAGACTCTTTTGGCTGAAAAAGCACGTTTGGCCCATGAGAATTCAATATATGCTCGTGAGAACCGTTTTCTGAGGGAAATTGTCGAGTATCATCAACTTACAATGCAAGATGTGGTGTACTTAAACGAAGGTGCTGAAGAAGTTTCAGAAGTTTACCCTATCCACCTACCTGTAATCTCTGAAGCTCTTTCAACTACCACTCCGTCACCCAAGTCCCCTACATCACCCAAGTCCTCTTCGTCACCTTCGGATGAGACACCATCTCCAACCCCACGAGAGGAGGCAAAAGATGTATCAAGAAGTGACGACCCACCAAGTTCAGGCACCTCCTTACCAAAGGATGAAGCTGCAAAAAGACCTTCAACATCTCCTGCTTGATTTGAGTTGAAAGTTTTTCGTTTTTGGATTTTGGTTATGCCAGGAAAGGTTTCTGTTACATGGGTTCTATTTGATATTTTTTTCCCTTTTTTTTTTACAGTTCTAAGGAAGAGAGAAGGCAGGTGGAGATATTTTCTTTCTGTTGTGGATGGATTATTCTTTTGTGTATGTAATTGTGAATGCAGTTTTTTTGTCTGTTATTAAATAAAAAATCCAAAATTCTTTCTTTTTCCTCACTGCATTTACAAAACTCAGGTTGGTCGAAATTTTACACGGTGCAACCTACAAATCCAAATAATCATTTAAAAAAAAAAAAAAAAACTTTGAATAAAATTCTGGACTATGAAGAAGACCTGGACTAAATGACAAATTTTCCATCTACCATTTTCATTCTCTTAATTGCATGCACCGATGCACGTAAAAAAAATATTGCAACATGCAACAGAGAGAGAGAGGAGCAAAAAATACTTTCATTAATGGCAATACAAATTACACGTTACACAATGACATTTACGGATTTTAGGGGCCATTCCATATATTCAACATTTCTAATACAACATACGAGCCTGGTACCAAAAAATTACAACATAGGAGAGCCAGATTTCTATATAGTGGTTTCGGTTTAATTTTCTTGGACAATTCATGAACGGCGAAGAGTCAAATACAGTCAAATTTACCTCTGTAGATGATAATCAGAAGGCGGCTTTGAATAGGTACATGAAGCCTCAAAGCAGAAAAACTTCTTGATTTTTTGTGGAAAATACTAAAACATCTGAAAAAACAAACTTGACGATCCATCACCATATGATCTGAGATCTGCAGGTTTAACCAAAGCTCTGCACAAAGGACATGTTCTTTCCCTCTCAAACCTGGAAAAAGCAGTTGCCAATTCATTCAGAACGTAAATAGACTGGAGAAAACTAAAGCATTGTTCTAAACAAAGCATATTCACAGACAATATGCAAATCCAAATGTCATGGAAAACTCAGTTTCTGAAGGCACACATCATTTTCAACAGAAGAACAATGAAAGCAACATAAAAACCTAAGCAATAACCAACTAACCATTCTGATACACAATCTTCACAAAAGATGTGTTTACAACGAAGTAAAATAGGAGCATGCATCTTCTCTTGACATATAGCACACAGATCCCCAGCTGCATTGACCTACATCAGACAGGTGACAAGTTATTACAGTCACACAAGAGAATATGAGTTGTATGAACCAAAGTTTTCTTTCTAGAATGGAGCAGGTATGTTCACAGGAAAACTGCAATCATAGATGCTTTTTCTGAAGTCATTGCAACAGCCTGTATGTCAATGAGAATTGACTTTCTGCATTGGCGATTGAGACAGAGAAGGGCGAGGGGGAAGAGTTGGTGGAATAGGAAGGAAACAAGGTTAGGGAATTCTTTTTCTGCCAAAGAAAATGGGATATTGACTTGCAAGTCTATATACCAAAATCACATAAACACAAAATTCAGGTCATTCACCCACAGACACAAGGATGGAAAACCAGACTACCTGTTCTGACGTGGCATAAGCACCATAATGCACCTCTTTACGTGATAATGCCTTCAATGCAGTAAAGAAGGATTGCACCTGATATTTACCAACCATATAAGAAAATATATATCTAGCAAAGGAAGCACGAGGAGCTGCTTTGATCGCCAGCAAGTCAAATTTTCAGAGAAACCAAGTTATTAATAACTCAGGCAAAGAACTTGAGGATTTTAATAATAATACCTTCTCAACGACAGATGTGAGCTTGAAAGTTAAGTACAATCCTGTCATTAAAGATGAAAAGAGGCTCCCATAGTCTTTGTTTAAGAAGAAACGATACCAGACTGGAGTTGGCAACAATGCACGGTAAAGAAGCATTAGATACTCGACCAAAGTCAGCATTTGACCCTGGAGACAAAATAAATAAATAAATAAACAAACAAATAAATAAATGAATAACTACTATAGTCAGAATGTAATGGCAAAAATACATGAATCTGTATCATTTATAATTACCTGCTTACGATAATTTCTCCCTCTACTGTTCTTGTAATATATTAACAGAAAACACTTTAAGACCATTGCCGCCTGCCGAACCAAAGTATCTAAAAAAATCCATTATCAAGGGAAGATGGTAAGCAATGGTGCAAAGAAAACTAGTGCAAGAGAGGGAAAACACTGGTTTTGCATAACAATACCCAAGGTAAATAAGTGGGACTGTGGGAGATAAAGTTAGCATCAAAATACAAGTGCAAAGTAAACCAAATAGCAAAGGAAGTCATACCACTTGCTAAAGGCATATAGATAAAGATTAGCAAAATGAATTTCCAATTTTCGAATTTGGATATAAACACTTTCCCAAAAGAAAGGCAAAAGCATTACATAAGTGCCCAAAATTTTACATGCTTTGTTACCTAGAAGGATGCACTAGGTGTGTGCAAGAGAAGTTTTATATTGCTTGAGATTAAGTAGAGTGTTAAACAATTTCTTAAGTACTTTTTATGCAAGTTTTCTGATATATTTAGATGATCATATGCCATTTCCTTTGTACAAAGTGGCAAAGAACACAGGTAGTTTGTGATAATACCCCACTCAGTCCAGGTAAATATAATGGTAAAAAAAAAAAGAGAAAAAAAGGAACAAGAACACACCATTGACCATGATGATGAAAATCGCATGCCAGAAAGGTGGTATTGATTTTGGAGGAAGCATAACCAATGGGTATAAAAGATCATCATTTCGATACCACCAATAGACAGCAACCACATGAAGTGTGAAACCAAGACAAATACAAATAAGAACAGAAATCTTCCTCTCTCCCTGCATCCACCAACAGAAAGGACACTCATTATTTCATTTAATGTCTACTTTCTAGGCATCGCACCCACAAAAAAATCCAGAAATAGAAGTTTATGGCACCTTCAAAGCTGTTTGTTTCCGTAAGATTTCATTTGACTTGAACATAACAGCAGCGATCCAAATTGTCACAAAGAAACCTGTAGTACATGTAGGATGACAGACATTATACTTAGTCAAACAATTGGTTAAGCACACATGAACAAAGTCTAACAAGAGGCATACTGAATTACCGACCTTGAGATACTAATAAGACCAGAAACATAAAAAATGTCCGAGTGTCCTCAATAGCCATAAACAAACAAAAAAGAAAGGCTTGGCCCACACACACACACAAAGATTTGTGCAGGCTATATACTTAGTTAGCAGCTGAGCTACTTATCCCGATAAACCTCTGTCTCCCTCCCTAAGATTACCAATTTTACAACAAGCGTGTTTTCATATTTGTGTAGTTGCATGCATACTTGGCAGTAATTCCATCTTTAGCCACTTCTTACACCAATGCACAACTACATACAGAATGCAATCTACTACTCATAACTATGCATGCTACAATCACTAAATATGTCTTAGGCAAGCCAGCAGGGAATCTAACCAAAATACAATTCCAGCAAAAAAGAAAGGTATCAAGGATGGCTCCAGACGTGATAAGAATCACCTTGCAAATGCTGACGAATAAACACGACCAAGAGAAGCAAAGAAAAGGGGAGAACTTGCTCAATCCACCTAGCAGCCTGCTGAATGTCATATCTCTGAGACGATGAATCCCTGCTATTAGCTCCAGCCGCATCCCCAGCTTCCGCATCACCATCAGCACCTACATTTGCCGACTGTGAAACCCCTTCTCCCGCTACGGACATACGGTCACTCCTCAAATCCCCTTGACTGTCCGATGATGCCAACCCATGCGATACATCACCCTGCGGACTGGCTTCTCTCACCTGCCCAACCACTAAACCAGACGCGTCTCTATCATTCTCCTGGTCCGCCCCCCCAATTATCCTAATAGCCACCTCTCCATTATTAGCAGTCGCGGAGGAATTTTCTAGATTCTGATTGTGAATTCCAGAGCCGATCAAGGCCTCGGATTCTAGATGAGCTGAGCGGGCCACCCGGAGAAGACCCGAGTACTCCAACAAGGCTGAAATGGGCGCCTGAATTATATTCGAAGCCGATAGCATCCCATACCTTCTGGAATTCGTGGAAGCACCGGTGGAACCTCTGTAAGCGTCGGAATTTGCACCGGATGCTTCCATTTGCGTCGATGAAGCCCTAATCCTAACCATAATTCACTATCTCAATCAATTACAAGATCCGAAAACTGGGGGAGAAAGAAAGGGGAAACACAGAGCATTCCCATTACGTAATTCTTGAATAAATAACGAGAAAAAAGAGGAAAACGGAAAACATTTTCGTGTAAACCAAGAAAAGATGGAAAAGAAAAAACGAATAGGCGCCGAAACGCGAATACGAGCATTAAATGTAAGTCTGCATCCGTACCTCCGAAACCGAAACTCCGTCGAGGACCTTGAAAATTAGCGAACAAAAAGTCTCATCCCATTAATTTCACAGAAATAAAAGAATCAGCAAAGACCAAAACCAAAATCGAGCAGCCCGTCGGCGGTCGGTGTGAAAGAGAGAGGAAAAAGTCAAAAAAGGAAGCGCAGTGGCTTGACTGAAAATCGATCAGATCATCGCCGGAGGGAGTAAATCGGAGGTCGACGGCAGCGGAACTGCAAATCGGAGAAGGTAGGAGGGTCGGCAGTGGAAATGTGGGGGAGGTAGAGAGGGTTTGTTCACCTGAGTTCCTTGTTCTCTTCCTCTCTAGGCAGAGGCGCAGAGCGAGAGAAACAGAGATTATTATCGAATTGTTTTTTGGATTTTTTTTTTTTTTTGGGGGGTTTTGAATGAATAAAGATAGTGCAGATAAAATATGTAGTTAGTACACTCAAGGAATAACTCCTTGATTAGTCCCTCGACTTCGTAATTTATTTCAATTTACACGAAAGCTTTATTTTAAGCTAATTAAGTTAAGGGATTAGTGTTTATAAGTTGGGAAGAAAAATAATTAAAATTATATTATTTAAATAAAAAAAATTATAAACATTAAAATAATTTTATTTTTATTTTAAAAGTAAGGTATTTGAATTTTTTAATGATAATTTATTAAAATAACATAATTTTTTGAGTGTTTTTGTCATAATTTTTTAGATCTAACTAACAAATATTTTTCTCTTAAATTAATGTAGGATTTTTTTAATATGTGCCATTAAGATAAAAGTTAAAAATGTATTATTATATCTTTTTATTATTAATTTACATGAAAAATATACAAGTTAATTTTAATTTTATTAATTATTTAATTAAATTATTTTATATTAATTAATATTAAAAATAAAATTTATTAAAAATTTTATACAAATTAATAATAAAAAAGTACAAGAACCTATATTATATTTATAGTCATCGACCAATATTTTTCAAAACTAGACTAGGCTAGTTGATTCAACCAATGTGTGCATAAAATCAAAGGGTTTAAACAGCCAAAATTGGGTAGAAATGGGTTAGACTAGATCAAACCGGACATCCACAATAGATTAAAATATTTTAAATTTTCTCAATAGTTTTAAAAAATTTTATTGTCACATTATTATTCAATGGATCAATAATTAAACCAAGTGAACGGAGAATCAATAGTAATCAGTTGAAGTTCATAGATATGCATGTAAATATATATATATAAGTGTTTTATACGGTAGATTATATAATTCAAAAACCAAGACTTCTCGCTTTTAAACAGAACCTTCAACATTCAAACAAAAAAGGGCTTTTGAGGTCGTCAATTCATTAAACTTTAATTAGTTGTTTACGTTTAATAAATTTTATAAGTGTCCGAATCATCACCTAATGTGTACAAAATGTCCTGGAATAGAATCCACCACATGATCCCGAAATTAGGAAGAAGGGGGTGGGGAGAATACGAAAACCAGGAGTTATTTACCAAAAAAAAAAAAGAAAAGAAAAAGAAAACCAGGGGTAGAGTTAAAATCTTTCTATATAATATTCTTTTATTGAGTA